TGTGTATGTCATATTTGTGTTCATAAAACCATAAAACTAAAAAAAAAAAAGAAAAAGTGGCATTGTCTGTATTTGACCACTTTTGATTTATAAAAGAGAAATTTTGTGTCATTCAGCCTAATAATTTAAAGTGTTTGAGGAGTATATTGAAGGCAGATATCCTAAAAGACAAAGCACTAAAGGATGCCTGGAGGGGAGATTGAATTCCTAAGGAAAGCTAGATAGGGCATCAATAAAGGATGGTTTTCATTGGTGGCTTACAAAACCCAGTTGTTGTTGTTGTTGTTTTAATTGATCTGTGCGTGGCAGTTTGTGAATCATAGATGTACTTATAAGAGCTTTACTGCAGCATCCCAGAAATCCATTAATTCTTAAAACTCCAAATTCTGCTTTTTTTAAGTGAAACAAATATTACCAGGATAGACTAACAACTTGGTTATGTTTTTTTGGTTTGGTTTTGTTTTTAATGGTGAAGCCACCTGTAAACAAAGAACACATTAGGTGGAGATTATCAAACCTTTAGGCTGAGCATTGCCCCTGATGTATTGTGGCAACTGATTGGCAGGGGAAGAACAGATAAAATGCTCTTCCTAAGCTATGGGGACAGGTTACCTAGTAACCATAGAATGATTAAATTCTGTTCACAGAGCCTTGTTCTCTTAATTGGACAAAAAGATTTAAAGAACACAGCTGGAGAGCAACTGGAGCCATGGAGGACTATCGCAGGTGTCAGTGGGCCTCATATCAGCAGTTCTAGCAGCCTTCACTTAAGGGCCACAGTATGTGATTGAATCCTTTGTTAGTAATAAGCGGCTAAGCTGCCTACAGAGCCAGAATTCTGTGCTCTTCTCACCTATAGGAAAAATGAAGATAAGCTATGGAATGGAACACATTAAATGCAGTGCAAACTCCACATGGCATTATAGTTCTGAGAGTGATCACTTTCTGTGTACAAGATTGTGTTTGTGCTCAGATATCAAAGTTCTATTCCTTACTAGAACGCAGAGTGGTCATTTGGGGTCAGTATATCCTGTTATCGCTCTCTTTTGTCTGTTAGGCACATACTGCTTTATAGAGAATTATGGTCATTCCATTCTCCCCTGCTTTGACAGTAAAACTAAGAAAAACCAAGTTCTAGGTTGACAATGATTAAGATTTTTTTTTTTTATCTGTTAAGGACCTTTAGGTAACACAATAATTTTTTCCTGTGCTCAAAAAAGAACTCAACATGCATGTCACTAACTGTAATTGGAAAAGCTCTACCTGTGAGTCACTTTTAAAAATGTTTTCCATGGGGCACCTAGCTGGCTCAGTCGGTTGAGTGCCCGACTTTTGATTTCGGCTCAGGTCATGATCTTAGGGTTATAAGATTGAGCCCCAGATTGGGCTCTGCGCTAGGCGTGGAGCCTGCTTAAGATTCTCTCTCTCTCCCTCTGCCCCTCCCTTCCCCGCTTGTGCTCTCTCTCTAGGAAAAAAAAAAAAATGTTTTTCAGGTATACCTTATACTCCTTGAGTAAGATTTATAAGTTAATATTACCTCGGTTTGGCAGCTTTCCTAACAGGGATGCAGCTTAAAATTTTCTTAAAGCCCCCCCCTAGTAACAAACAACAAATTAATCCATAACATGCTAATACCTCCAAGCTGCAAGTTCTGTTTTCTCTTTTAGTATTAGATGAATCAATAGCTACAGTACTTTGATTGGAGAATGACTAAGAGATAGTCAATAGCTCACAGTGTCAAGTGCTCTTCAGTCACCAAAACCTAAGGGATTTTGTTTTGAAACTGAAGTCAACACAAAGTGCACACCCATCCTGTAATTCTACCTCTCTTACTCTGCCCTGTTATCTATTTCTTTTAAAAATTTTTTTCCTAAATATTTGTTTTTGTCCTTCAGGGACTTTAGGGATTAAAATATGTTCATAAGAACTCAATGAATAGAAAAAGGTTATCTTGGACTTTTACATCTTGTTGCTTTTATTGCATTTATTGGATAATTTTCACTGTGGTGTTAAGCATGTCCCAACAGACAAACATGAGTTCCAGGAATCCTCTGAATTATGAAACTAAGGGTTATCTATAAATATATAGATTAAATGTATAAATAATAATATAATATGTTTTTAAAAATGTAAAATAAAATGCAATAAACAAACTATGTATTATATGTATTAGACTATATATTATGGTATGTGTGATATATAGTTTATTTTATCATATCTCTAGTTCCAAAGGGTTTAGAGCTCCTCCAATAAAATATAGGTTTAATTGAGCCATTAAAAAAGCCACCTGCCTAAGAAAGGGAATTAGAGATAAATAGAAAAATAGGCTATGAATAATGATTGCAACTGAGCATAAATCTTAGTTTCAAGCTTCCTGTCAGCTAAGACAAAAAGGGAAACCCAATAATAAAAGTAAGCATGCCAATTCATTAGGGAAGAAAAAGATTTTCCATCTAAAATATATAAATTTCTAGATATCAATAAAAAATACATCATTGGAATAATTTAGTAACATGAAATTCATATTTAAAAATACAATAAAAGGTCTTTAGGCATGCCAATTCTCCAAGTCTATTGCACCTGGTAGTGATCCCTCACCAATGGAAGGGTGTTTCTGGGAACTAACTCTACCATAAGCTCATACTGGCTGCATGCATCTGCCTACGATAACAATTGCCTCTTGGGAATAGCAACCAGAAAGGATCCTCTCTCGTTTATACACACCGAGTGAAAGCCAAAGACAAATTAAATTGAACTTATGATAATATGTTCGCTGCTAAAATTGGAGAGAAAAAAGTAAATTCTTGAAAGAATTGGAACAAAATACTTAAATAATGAAAGTAGATGGCTTCAGTTGAAGTTGGATACCAAGCAATGTTGTCTCCAGAACACTCTCCCGGTCTTGGAGATTCTTTCCTAGTCCAAAGCAGTATCTACTTTTCATCCTAAATTTTACTTTCATAAGAGTAGCTGGCATCACCTTTATGTGAATCAAGTCACTGTGTTACCTCTCCCAGGGGTGTTTGCCCTTTAAGCTTTCGCTCTAATTCGATTTAACAGATGCTTACTGGAGGCCTACTATATGCAAGCAAGGTACTTTCCAGATGCTAGTAGTGCAATAAAAGGCTTCATGTTCTTAGATAGGGATTTCAAGCATCAGTGAATAGGTAGGCAAGAGAGTTTTCATTCTCTGGGTAACATCTTACTCTCTGCCCCTGTATCCTTCTAAATGACCTTTGTTGTTGGGGCCACAGAGCCATCACACATACTTACACATTCCTCAAATTTTTAGTCTAATTTTCTCCTTTTCCTAATCTTAGAGAACCAGGAGTTCAGGTGTTACTGTAGCTGAATTTCTGGCTTATTCCCCTTTCCTTGTCATAGGATTCCTGACTTACTCCCTTATGTCTGAATTTTTCTGATACCCCAGTTTTTCCTTAGAAGAGAGAAAAATATTATGTGTTGAAAACTTCATTTTAGGGGTGCCTGGGTGGCTCAGTTAGTGAAGCATCTGCCTTCGGCTCAGGTCATGATTCCAGGGTCCTGGGATCCAGCCCACATAGGGCTCCCTGCTTAGCAGGAAGCCTGCTTCTCCCTCTCCCACTCCCCCTGCCCGTGCTCTCTCTCTTGCTGTGTCTCTCTCTCTACCTCTGTCAATTAAATAAATAAATAAAATCTTTAAAAAAAGAAAAAGAAAACTTCGTTTTATTTTCCAGGCAGTGTACACAGTAATCCCTGCAACTACAATGTTAGTAGCATCATTTACATTTAAAAAAGGAGGGCCTGAGGCTCAGAGAGGTTTCCAAACAAGGACCCAAGCTGGGAGGTGGCAGAAAAGTTCCACATATCTGACTCCAAAGCCAGTTCTTTTTCCATCACAGCAGCCGTTCTCAAAGGGGGTGCAATTTTGCCCCTTCCCCAAGGAAATGTGGCAATATCTGGAGACATTTTTGTCACAACCAGAGGTGGAGTGGTGGGTTACTACTGTCATCTAGTGGGTGGAGGCCATGGATGCTGCTAAACATCCTACTATGTGCAGGGCACCTCCCACAACAAAGAATTATGCACCCAGCCCAAAATGTCCATGGTGCCACTAAGAGAAGCCAGTGCAACATTACAGAATGCTCCCTGCCCTACTCCGATCTTATTTCCAAGGATCCAAAGGTAGGTAACTGCTTCAAAATTAAACAAATTGTAGAAAGCGACAGACCAATCAACGCCTTGTTCATACTACAACTCTCTTCCGGAATAAAGAAAAACAGATTGGAGCCTTAAGATGAAAATGCTGGGTGTGGGGAGAGAAGAGGGGTAGAGCGCAGTAAGCAGAAAGGAAATGCAAACTAGTTATTGAGTTTAAAAATCAGGATGTAAATGTATAGCTTTTTTTCATCCCAGGATTTTCTTTTTTTTCTTTCTTTTTTTTTTTTTAAGATTTTATTTATTTATTTGAGAGAGAGAGAATGAGAGAGAGCACATGAGAGGGGGGAGGGTCGGAGGGAGAAGCAGACTCCCTGCCGAGCAGGGAGCCCGATGCGGGACTTGATCCCGGGACTCCAGGATCATGACCCGAGCCGAAGGCAGTCGCTCAACCGACTGAGCCACCCAGGCGCCCCATCCCCAGGATTTTCAATAATAATCCGAATGTTCACACACTGCTTTGAAATTTAACTATTTGGACCTGGTTAAATTTACCCTGACCTCAACCAACATTTGCGTTTGATTTTTTTTCCGGGACCCAGGGGACGTGGATGCCAGATGAGGCCACCTTGTCTCCTCTTCCCGCAGGGACAAGACCTGCCAGGTGCTGGTGACTTGGCGCCTGACAAGAGCCCGCTCTGTGGACGACTGGCAGGATCCCAGAGCCACAGACGCGTTTGGGACACTTTCCCAGCCCAGGGCCCCTACGCTCAACTGCTCCCGCCCTCCCTCCGGGTACCCCCGGGGGCGGGGCTGCGGGAGAGCACGTCCCTGCGCCGTGACGTCAGAATCCCAGCGCCTTGGCCCCGGCCCTTAGCAACCGGCCTGGCGACGGTCTCCAGCAGCTGCGGCCCCGCGCGGGCTGCTGCGCGGCAATCGTGTGCTGCGGGGCCCGGCCCGGCCCGGCCCGGGGAAGGACCGAAGGGGACCTGACGTGTCCCCACGGCGGCTGCAAGAGAATCTAAGCATGGATGGCAGCCGGAGAGGTAAAGGGAGCTCTCGTGGTGACGGCAGCCTCGCGCCGGCCCTCACTCCGGGCCTGGGGTCCGGGATGCGGGTCGCGGGTGCGCGGGTCCAGGCAGCGCCCAGGGGGCTTCCGGTCGCCTGTTCAGTCGCCACTGTTGATCCAGGTGTTACCCCGCGCACAGGAGGAGGCCCTCCTTGCTCAGAATCTGTGGCCCTGACGCTGGGACCCCGGTCGCCTGAACTCGGGAGCATGCAGCCTTTTTTTTTTACCTCGGTGGCTCCGAGGCAGAGGAACTAAATTTGGTCTTTGGAGTCAGACCTCCCAGAGCCCCAGATCAAGCCCCGCTGCTCTCCGCAAGGGTGACACCCAATTTCCTCATCTCTCGAATGTGGCAGTAAAACATCCATGTCAGAGTTCTTGAAAATTAAATGCAGATAATATATAACTCCTGGCATATTTTAAGTAATCAGTAAATATGAAATCGTCCTTCTGTAATCACCTCCCTCCCCACAAAACAAGTAACCCAGGGATTCTCTAACTTTAATGCGAATAGGAATCCCCTGGGGATCGTGTTAAAATGCAGATTATGGTTCAGTAGGTCTGGTGGGGGCTGGGATTTTGCATTTCTAATAAGCTGCCAAATGATACAGTGTTGCTGGCTACAGTTTTAGTGGCAAAGGACTAATCCATAATCACTGTGTACACCTGCACTTTCCTGAATACTCTCTGGGTCAAGTGGACGTCACGGTGGAACTCTTGGGGCCATATAACTTTAAATCTCTGTGAATTGGCTCAATCCAAATAATTTGCATTTTCACATTTTCTCAGCAAGTGGAGTTCTTGCCTCAAGCCAGATAAAGTAATCTCCAGATCCTCCCCCTCCCAATTATCACTTTTAAAAGTATCTTTAAACCAAGCTGCTGGATGGTTCCTTGCAATAAGTCTTGCTTTGAATATGAGTGTGCCTTTATTATGTAACCATTGGTCAAAATAAGTGCTGTTCTGAATATAGGAGATTACTATCCATTGATAGCAAACTGTATATTCTGACACTCTATCAACCTACACTCCAGAAAAAGCAAACCAACATGCCTTTTTGGTTTTTAGAAATTTTGCAACATAAGCTACCCTTGCTGTGTACCAGAAATATTTCTCAAGCTGTGTCTTGATAGGTATTATCCTCATTTCAAGCAAATAAACTAAGAGATCATAAATAACTTGCCAGGGTCACAGTAAGTGGCAGAACAAGCTTTATATCCAGATGAGGAACGTGAACCCCTAAAGCCATTGTTTTTTTATTTACTATCCCATGGCAGAAGTGGGAGTATGAGAAAGGACGTATGTAAAATTTCAATTATACAGGCATACCTCGGAGATATTGCAGAATCTGTTCTACTGCAATAAAGCAGGTATCTCAATAAAGTGAGTCAAATGAGTATTTTGGTTTCCCAGTGTATATAAAAGTTGTGTTTACCCTACACTGTAGTCTATTAAGTATGCAGTAACATTATGTCTAAAAAACAATGTACATGCCCTCATTTAAAAATACTTTATTGCTAAAAAATGCTAACCATTATCTGAGCTTTCAGCAAGTAGTAATCTTTTTGCTGGTGATGGGTCTTGCATTAATGTTGATGGCTGCTGACTGGTCAGGGTGGTGGTTGCTGACCATTGGCGTGACTGTGGCAATTTCTTAAAATGAAACAACATTGGGGGTGCCTGGCATGCTCAGTGGAGCATGTGACTCTTGATCTCTAGGTCATGAGTTTGAGCCCCACGCTGGGTGTAGAGATTACTTTTAAAAAATGAAATCTTTAGTGCTCGCTTCGGCAGCACATATACTAAAAAATGAAATCTTTAAAAAAAAAAAAGAAGGAAGGAAGGAAAAAGAAGACAACATTGAAGTTTGCCACATCGATTGACCCTTCCTTTCATGAATGATTTCTCTGTAGCATGTGGTATTGTTTGATAGCATTTTACCCACAATAGAGCTTCTTTCAAAACTGGAGTTAATTCTGTCAGCTAAGTTTATGTAGTATCCTAAATCCTTTGTTGTCATTTCAACGATCTTCACAGCATCTTTACCAGGAACAGATTCCATCTCAAGAAGCCACTTTCTTTGCTTGTCTTTAAGAAACAGCTCCTCATCTGTTAAAGTTTTATTGTGAGATTGCAGCAATTCAGTCACATCTTCAGGTTCTACTTCTAATTCCAGTTCTCTTGTTATTTCTGTCACATCTGCAGATACTTCCTCCACTGAAGTCTTGAACCCCTCAGTCATCCATGAGGGTTGGAATCAATTTCTTCCAAATTCATATTAATGTTGATATTATTACTTCTTCCTACAAATCACAAATATTCTTAATGGCATCTAGAATGGTGAATCCTGTCCGGAAGGTTTTCAATTTACTTTGCCCTGATCCATCAGTGGAATGACAGCTCTAGCCTTATGAAATGTATTTCTTAAATAATAAGACTTGAAAGTTGAAATTACTCCTTGATCCATGGGCTGCAGAATGGATATTGTGTTAGCAGACATGAAAACCTTAATCTCATTGTATATCTCCATCAGAGCTTTTGGGTGACCGGGTACATTGTCAGTGAACTTAGTAATATTTTGAAAGGAATCTTTTTCTGAGCAGTAGATCTCAACAGTAAGCCTAAAATAGCCACTGAGGGGCACCTGCGTGGCTCAGTTGTTAAGCGACTGCCTTCGGCTCAGGTCACGATCCCAGGGTCCTGGGATTGAGCCCTGCATCAGACTCCTTGCTCAGCAGGAGCCTGCTTGTCCCTCTTCCTCTCCCCCGGCTTGTGCTCTCTCTCTCTCTTTCTCTCTGTCAAATAAATAAAAATAAAATCTTAAAAAAAAAGAATCCATTGAGCCCACCCAGAGACACCAAAAACAACAACAGCAAAACACCCTATTCATTAAACTGTGTTATAAACAAATGTGCTGTTACATGGGCATTGTTGTTCTATTTATAGAGCACTGACACAGCAGATGTAGCATAATTCTTAAGGGCCCTAGGATTTTCAAAAATGGTAAATGAGCATTGGCTCCAACTTAAAGTCACCAGCTGCATTAATCCCTAACAAGAGAGTCGCCTGTCCTTTGAAGCATTAAAGCCAGGCATGGACTTCTCCTCGGAGACTATGAAAGTCCCGGATGACATCTTCTTCCAATATAAATCTGTTTCATCTACATTGAAAATCTGTTTAGTGTAGCCACCTTTATTAATTATCTTAGCTAGATCTTCTGGATAATTTGCTGCTTCACCTTATACTTTTATGTTATAGAGATGGCTTCTTTTCCTTAAACCTCATGAACTAACCCCTGCTAGCTTCAGACTTTTCTTCTGCAGCTTCCTTACCTCTCTCAGCCTTCATAGAAATAAAGAGAATTGGGGGCTTGCTCTGGATTGGGCTTTGCGTTTTTTGTTTTTGTTCTAGTTTTTGTTTTTTTGGATTAGGCTTTGGTTTAAGGGGATGTTGTAGCTGGTTTAGTCTTTTATCCAGACCACTAAAACTTTCTACATGTCAGCAATAAGGCTATTTCACTTTCTTATCATTTATGTGTTTCCTGGAACAGCACTTTTAATTTCCTTCAAGAACTTTTCTTTTGTATGTATAACTTGGCTAAGTGTTTGACACAAGGGACCTAGATTTGGCATATCTCAGCTTTGAACATGCCTCCCTCACTAAGCTTAATCATTTCTAACTTGATTTAAAGTGAGATGCATGCAACTGTTCCTTTCACTTGAACACTTAGAGGTCATTGTAGGGTTATTAATTGGCCTAATTTCAATGTTGTTGTTTCTCAGGGAATAGAGAGGTCCAAGAAGGAAGAGATGTGGAGGAATGGCTGTTCGATAGAACAGTCAGAACATACAACATTTATCAAGTTCCCCTGGATTCAGATCCAAAATCTGAGTCTATTACACACAATTGTCGTGTAATCTTGGGCAAATTACATGCTTTACCTCTTTGTGCTTCACTGTAAAGTGGGGATAATGATAATACCTATCTCATAGGATTGTTGTAAGGATTAAATGAATTTATAGCTACCAAGTGCTTAGAACAGGACCTGCCTGGCACAGTTAGTATTCAGTATATTAGCTTTTGACTACAAGTGAAGAAACCCAATTCAAACTGGTTTAGAGATTTTCAGCTCCTGTAAAGAAACATCTAGTAACGTCTAGTAATGTCAAACATGGTTAGATTCAGGGACTCAAATGAAATTACTGTCTTCCATTTCTCTCTGTTAGGCTTCATTCTCAGACAGGTTCCCTATATGGTACAAGACAGCCACTAGGAATGCCAGGCTTCTTTGTCTTACGCTGGGCTCCAGCCCAGTAGAGAGAGTATCTCTTTCCTGATAGTTCCAGTAAAAGTCCCAGGATTGTGTGTCATTGGCTGGATTTGGATCACATCCTTATTCCTGATTCACTGAACATAACTGGTCAGATTTGGGTTATATGCCCACCCCTGAGCTGTGGAATAAGCTCTACTTGAATTACTTGGGCTAAAAGTAAGGCAAGAGCGGTTCCCCAAGTACAAGTTGAAGGTCCTATTTCCAGATAAAGGGACATGGGATTCTAGGCAGGCAAAATGTGAGACACTTTGTTTTCCCCCAGAGAAACAAGGTTTTCTGGAGAGGTTTTATTGGTCATTTTGTTTTCTTTGTGTGTTTAGGTCTCAGATTCCCTTCTTTCCTTGTAGAAACAAACTATGCTAATTTCATGACTGTCATTACCAACTCAAATGGTATCACCTTGATCTCTCTTGTTCTAAATAATAAGTTAATTTTTTTCCTTCCTGTCCTCTAGCCTGTGATAGAGAAGGATCTTCTCAGATAATCAGATCTCAAGTATTTTTTATTTTAGTCTGTTCTAGCAGGCTTTGTTCTCTGGTCCTGGATTTTAGTTCTATCTCGATACCTCTCTTTCCATTTTCAATCATCCATATTTCTTCCAGACTTTGTGTCCCTTCCACACCTTAGCTTATAGCAGCCCACCTCATAGCAGACTGACCATTTTACCATCTTAAAAACATATCTTAGGGATACACTATTCTTATTTTGCGTGTTAAATTCCATTAAAATCTATAACTCAGCCTTCTTATCTTGAAGGTTACTCCTCAAAACACAATTCACTTTTAGGGGAGAGAAATTAATTTTGTGATGAGGTATATATCTAATTTTCTGACATTCCATCTTGTCTGAAAGATGAGGCGCTGACTTTTGGGGAGATAGCAAGGATCCAAACAAGAGCGTAAGGGGTTGGACGAGATGAACCTTACATCTTATAATAATTAAGTTCTGATTCTGACATTTTTATACATATATTTTACATAGAGTAACATTGTATAATTTCTAATTTACTAAACTACTTTGTGAGAGGATTACTTTCTTAAAATTATTTTTAAGAACAGACTTACTTATGATTAACTGAAATAGTTAATGTATATGTGTTAACTCAAAATCTCACTTCTATATCTCAGAATCATTAAAAAATCTGGTAGGTCAGTGGTGTACAGAATAAAATTAATATATATCAAATAACATAAGTGAGGTATTTGTCATTTTATCCAGTGAAACTAAAGTCTCAGGGTACAGCTGTTCTGAGAACAACTTATTTTCTTAAAAGAGAAAGCTTTTTATCTTCTACAGCAATAGAATTTTTGTCTGTCTGATGTATCATTGCGATTTAGTATCATGATTGAATAAAATTTTAAACAATTGTGATAGTTAAAATCAAAGATAGTTATTATTTTTAAATATTCAATATTGTTTCTGTACAAGTTGTGTTTGATTTATCCTAATTTATATTTTTTTGTTAAAAGTCAGAGCAACCTCTGTCCTTCCCAGATACGGTCCACCATGCCTATTTAAAGGACACTTGAGCACTAAAAGTAACGGTAAGTGAGGTATTTAAGTGGTAAAAGATTACGTGTTAAAAGGTTGACTGTTTCCTTTATTTGTAAAGTGTAAGACATGATGAAAAATTACTTCATTTAATCAGTATTGAACTTCATATTGTTAATTACAATTAAATATTATAGGAATTCTTGAGATGAGGGAATTTAGGAAGCCATCCTTTCAAAGTAGTGTTGTGCCCAGGATGTGGCCCTGGCCTCTGCCTGCTCCCTCTTGCGGCTCCAGCCCCGCTCTCCTTTGTGCCGGCAGACCTCCCTGGCTTCCGGCATGCCTTCCTTGGTGAAGTGGTGATTAGGGGGTTAGTTAAAGACACTGGCACTAAAAAGGAAAAGTTGTGCAGAGAAAAAGAGCACTTGAAAAATACATTTTGTATCAGGAGTAAACACCTGTGATTTTACTTTTCCAACTGGATTTCTGGATTCTATGAGAAAGAAATCTGTATTTTCTGTATTTTCACATTTTAAAGCCTTTAAATTTTTAATGGGAACTTAAAATATATTTTTATAATGATAGATTCAAAATTTAAACTCTGGGTTTTTTAAGGCAAAATAATTGAAAGTCTTTTTTTCCTTATTTACATGAAAAATCTTTGATACTGGTTCCTCTAAAAGTGAAAGAAGGATCACATTTTCAGTTAACTTATTTCTTGTAATAAAATATATGTACACATAGATCAGAGTCATCAATGTTGAAAAATTATTTTTAACTAAAAATTTAAAACTAGATGTAAAGAATACATACATTAGAAAAGCAGAAGGAACAACAATAAGTAGTTGGCTAACTTTTTTTTTAAGAATATATGTGCAACTACAAAAAAAAGAATATATGTGCAGAACTGGTACAGTTTTAGTGGATCTAAGTAGGGAGGCTGCCTGGGTTCTCGTCAGCTGTGGGACCTTGAAGACCTTACTCACATCTCTCTACCTTAGTTTCCATTTCTATTAAATGGTGATAATAATGACTAAATGAGTGTTTACCTGTTAAGAGCTTAGAACAATGCATGCATGGTACCTAGTCAATAAATTTTAATAGTAGTAATAGTATCAAGCTTATCATTATTGTACATCCTTGTATTATGCATAGAATTTCCCTAGAAGGATGCATAAAGTTAGTAGCAGAGTATACTTCTGGGAAGGGAGGGGAGGGGTCATGGCAGGAAGTTCACTTATTTTTCAATCTTTTTATGCCGTTTTAGCTGTTGACTTTTTAAAACTGTATGTGTGTATTCTCAAAATCAGCTTTTAATGTTTAAAAGTTATGCCTACATTTATTTACATTTTATACATTTATACTTACATAAATTTCTAAGATTTCTTTTAAACAGTTTAGATGAGATTGAGAAGTTTAATGTCATAGAATTTCTATGTGACTGTATTTGTCTTAAGATAGTCCTAATATTTCAAGAAGAGTGCGGTAAACTGATTGTGTTTTCAGGTGTAAAATTAGAAGTTGCCTCTCGGAAAAGAATCTTTGCATAGTATTTGAGTTTCAAATTTGATTTATTCAACTATTAACAATGCTAACATTTTACAATCAGGCAAGTGGCTAAACATTTTTACGAGATTGAGGCCTGTCAATAAGAAACAGTTTTGTAAATACAATGATAGATTATATTCTAGAATCTCTTCCCAAACTCTCAGTCTTAGAAAGGTTTGAACCCAAGTAGTCAATAGCTTGTCAGTTATCAGTGCAAGATTAAGGCTAGGACATATTCAGCATCACAGATACGTCAGTATGTTCATTGGTTAATTTTCAGAACATTTTATAAAAATGAGCTTAATAATCAGTATCTTGTTTATCTCATGATGATTTTTATATTCTAAATACATAATGATTAAATATGTTTTAATTTTTAGCTTTTTGCACTGACTCCTCCTCTCTCAGACTAAGTACTCTCCACCTGGTCAAGAATCACATGGCTGTTCACTATAATAAAATCCTTTCAGCCAAAGGTAAAAATGTGCAAATGTGAACTTTCTATACCCAGTTTAAACCTTAGCTTCCTTTCTAATTAGGGTAAATCTGTAGCAAAAATGAATATATATATAAATGGATTTGTGTTTGGTGTGGTGAGATATCAACTGTTAACTCTAACTTTTATATGTAGAAAATTCAGAATGCCATTTTTATTGACTATATTTGATATCTGTATAATAACTACATTATTTCATTTTACCTGTGTTATCCGTAACACATTTTTGTGGTTAGATATTGATCTTAATATAATAAGTTTGTAATCTGCTTTTTTGTTTTCAAATCTACTATAGAAATCGTACAAAGAGGATGCCAGCTATTACTTTTTTCTTTTTTGTTGCTTTATTGAGATAATAATATACAATAAAATGCACTAATTTTAAGTGTACAGTTAAGTGTTTTGGAACATATATACATTTGTATAATCACCACAACAGTCATCCTATAACAGGGATTGGCTAACTACAGCTCGTAGGCCAAATCCTCCTGCCACTTATTTTTGTACAGCTCTTGAACTAAAAAATGATATTTATATTTGTTATTAAATGGTCAGAAAAAATCAAAAGAACAATATTTCGGGGCACCTGGGTGGCTCAGTTGGTTAAGCGACTGCCTTTGGCTCAGATCATGATCCTGGAGTCCCTGGATCGAGTCCCGCATTGAGTCCCGCATTGCATCGGGCTCCCTGCTCAGCGGGGAGCCTGCTTCTCCCCCTGACCCTCCCCCATCGTGTGCTCTCTCTCATTCTCTCTCTCACAAATAAATAAATAAAATCTTAAAAATATATATATTTCGTAACATGTGAAAGTCACATGAAATTCAAATTTCATTGTCCGTAAGTAAACACAGTCATGTTCATTCTCGGATATATTGTCTGTGGTGGCTTTTGCTCTAATGAGCAGAGTGGACTAGTTGTGACAGAGGCCATAATCACTCTGTAAAGCCTGAAGAATTTACCATCTGTCCCTTTGCAGAAAACATTCACTGACCCCTGATACAGAACATTCCCATCACCCTAAAAAGTTCTCCCTAGTCCTTTGCAATCAGTCTCTTCCCCCAATCCCTGGCAACCACTTATCTGCTTTCTATCACTATAGTTTTGCCTTTTCTAGAATTTCATATAAATGGAATCATACACTGTGTATCATTTTGTGTCTGGCTCCTTTCAATTAGCTAATGTTCTGGAGACTAATCCATGTTGGTATGTACATCTGTAATTCTTCCTTTTTATTGTTAAGTAGTTTTCCATTCAATGAATATACTACAATTTGCTTATGAATTCATCAGTTGGTGGGTATTTGGATTGTTTTGACTCAATTTTGGCCATTAGGAATAAAGCTGCTATAAGCATTCGCATACAATCTTTGAACATGTGCTTCCTTTTCACGCTGATAAATGTATCACTACGAGTGGAATTGTGGGGTAAAATGGTAAGTATGTTTAACTTTATAAGAAACTGCCTGTTTTTCCAGAGTGAGTGCCATTGTGTGTTCTGTCACTTCCACATTCTCACCAGCACTTCCTTTGCCAGCCTTTGGCAGTCCTGCAGCCATTCTAGTTGAGATTTAGGTCGCTCATCAGGGCTTTAGCTTGTATTTCCCTAATGCCTAATGATGTTGAGCAACTTTTCTTGTGCTTATTTGCTATCTGTTCAGATCTTTTGCCCATTTTTAAAAATAAGTTCTTTCTTTTTTTAAAGATTTTATTTATTTGACAGAGAGAGAGCATAAGTAGTGGAAGCAGCACGCAGAGGGAGAGAGAGAAGCAGGCTCCTGCTGAGCAGGGAGCCCGACCTGGGGCTCAATCCCAGGTCCCTGGGATCATGACCTGAGCCAAAGGCAGACACTTAACTGACTGAGCCACCCACGCATCCCAAGTTGTTTGTTTCTTAATGTTAAATTGTGAGAGTTCTTTGTATATTAAATACAGATCCTGTATCAAATACATTTTCTCCCAGTCTGAGACTTATCTTTTCATTTTCTTTTTAAAAATTTTTTTTTTTAAGATTTTATTTATTTATTTGAGAGAGAGAGAATGAGAGACAGAGAGCATGAGAGGCAGGAGGATCAGAGGGAGAAGCAGACTCCCTGCCGAGCAGGGAGCCCGATGCGGGACTCGATCCCGGGACTCCAGGATCATGACCTGAGCCGAAGGCAGTCGCCCAACCAACTGAGCCACCCAGGTGCCCTAAAATTTTTATAATGAAATAATTTTAGACTTATAGAAAAGTTTTGAAAATAATATGGTGTCACAGAAACCCTTCACCCAGCTTTCCCTAATGTTAAAATCTTATATAACCACAGTACAGTTATTAAAACTAGCAAATGAATATTGATAGAATACTATTAAGTACAGATCTTATTTGAATTTCATCAGTTTTTCACAAAGGTCTTCTAAAAATTTTTGTTTTCTCATTTGAAGAGCTAAGTTTATAAATCTTAGTTCGCATTTTATGAAGTTTATATTTTTAAATGACTGAGAAATCTAAAGATAAGTTGTATTTTGTGACATGTGAAATCAAGTTCAGCTTTTCAATTGCTTTAATAGTTTATACTTTCCATATCCTGTTTAAGAAATCTTTTCCTAATCTTAGGTCAGTAAGATTTTCTTATGTGTTTTCTTCTAGAAGTGTAAGTTTTAGCTCCTACGTTTAAGTTTGTGATCCATTTTGAGTGAGTTTTTATATAAAGTATCAGTTTTTTGCCTATGAATATCCAGATATTCCCAGTACCACTTGTTGAAGAGATTGTCCTTTCTGTGTTGAATTGCCTTTGCAGTTTTTGAAAGACAGCTGACCCATATTGGAGGGTAAATTTCTGGACTTCTCGGTTCTGTTCTAGATCTTATATGGGCACCTGGGTGGCTCAGTCGGTTAAGCGCCTGCCTTCAGCTCTGGTCGTGATCTCTGGGTCCTGGGATCAAGCCCCACATCAGGCTCCTTGATCAGCGGGGAGCCTGCTTCTCCCTCTGCCTGCCATTCCTCCTGCTTGTGCTTGCTCTCCCCCCAACCCGCATCAAATAAATAAATAAAATCTTAAAAAAAAAATACCATACTGCCTTAATTACTGTAGCATTACAGTAAGTCTTGAAATCAAGTAGTGTAGAGCCTCTTATTTTGCCTTTTTGGGGGGGGCTTGTTTTGGGACTCCAATTACAGGTATGCTGAGTGCATGATAAAGGTAGGTTAGGTCACTGATGCTCTGTGCATTTATTTTCCAATCTTTATTTACTCTGTTTCATTTTAAGTAGTTTATAATGCTATGTTTTCAAGTTTTCTAATACTTCCTTCTACAGTACCCAGTGAGCTATTAATCCCAACCAGTGTATTTTTTATCAAGGGTATTATATTTCTTATCTCTAGAAGTACCATAAAGATCAAAACAAGGAACTGGAAATTCTGGAACTTTTTGTGCTTTTCACATCTGATATTTGTTCATTTATAACTATTAAGAATATTACTAAACAACTGATTTTTTTTTTCTTTCAGCTGCGGTAGACTGCTCGGTTCCATTAAGCGTGAGTGCCAGCATCAAATGTAAGTTATTTTTCACATACTGACTTTTAAAAACACTAATGGTTAGATGAGTGATGGAGATGAAGGAGGGCACTTGTTGTGATGAGCGCTGCGTGTTATCTGTAAGTGATGAATCACTGACCTCTGCTCCTGAAAGCAGTATTTCACTGTATGTTAAATAAATATTTAAATAAAACATTTTTAAAAACCTTGTGGTAAACTATACATAACATAGAATTTACCATTGTAACCATTTGTAAGTCTAACCATTTTAACCATTTCAGTGGCATTAGCTATGTTCATACTATGGTACAACTGTCACCACTACCCATTTCTAGAACCTTCTTATCTTGCAGAACTGAAACTCGTACCCATTAAACCGTAACTACCTTGTAACTATCATTCTGTTTTCTGTCTCTGACTCTGACAACTCTGGTACCTCATGTAAGTGGAATCATCAGGTAGTTTTCCTTTTGTGACTGGCTTATTTTACCTAGCATAATGTGCTTGAATTTTATCTGTGTTGTAACATATGTCAGAATCTCCTTCCTTTTTAAGGCTTTTTTGTTTATACAATCGTATAGACACTTGGGTTGTTTCCACCTTTTGTTTATTTTTAATAATTCTCCTGTGGAGGGGCGCCTGGGTGGCTCAGTCGTTAAGCGTCTGCCTTCGGCTCAGGTCCTGATCCCAGGGTCCTGGGATCAAGCCCCGCATCGGGCTCCCTGCTCTGCGGGAAGCCTGCTTCTCCCTCTCCCACTCCCCCTGCTTGTGTTCCCTTTCTCGCTGTGTTTCTCTCTGTCAAATAAATAAATAAAATCTTTAAAAAAAAAAAAAAAATTCTCCTGTGGACATGGATGTGCAAATATCTCTTTGAGACCCTGCTTTCCATTCTTTTGGGTATATGCCCAAAAATGGAATTGCTAGATCATACGGTAATTCTATTTTTAATTTTTTGAGAAACCACCATAGTATTTTGTACAGCAGCTGCATCATTTTGCATTTCCACCAATAGTGTGCAAGGCCTCCAGTTTCTCCACATCCTCCCCAACACTTGTTATTTTCTGTGTTTTTGATTGTAGCCATCCTAGTAATGGATGTTGATATATTGCCTTTTGAGGAAGCATTTTCTAACTTTTAAAAATTATCCATAAATAAAAGAAGCTTGTATTTCTAAGTTTAAGAACTTAGAATTGAACCCAGGCTTTGCCACTAAATTGCTGCATAACTTTGGATAAATTATTTAACTTCTCTGGATTTCATTATTCCTACATATAAAAATTTGGATAGTACTAAAAGGCTTGCCAAGGTAAAGTTCTAGGATTCTGTGATTCTAACTTCCCTTGGTTTATTAAGGTTACTGAATGATTCATTAAAACTACCATAACTGGTACTTTTCTTCAGATAAATACTGTCTACTATTTGTATCCTAATAGCTAAACTGATGAACTTGATAGTATCTGGAAATCCATATTGACTGAAGTTTTCTAAATAACCTCTACTAAGGAAATAATCAGACTCCAAAATTTGAAATTCCTATTTTAAAATGTTCTAAAAGATACCATTTGAGGCCTTTGTTTGAGTTCAAGTCAGGAAATACATACTTAAAAATAGCAAAAGGACATAGATATCATAGCCTAAGAGAGGATTTCTATATTAGAAAATAAGTATCAGCCCAACGTGTAGTGCATGCTAAGTGGTGAATGAAAGAGAGAATAGGTAGAGAAATGCCCCTTAGGTGCAGTCTGGGAAAGATCAAAGACAGCAGGATCAGTTGAACCCGATCTCTTCTTATAGACCTTCTTAGTGGAAGAGCTAGGACTTTTAAGCTGAGCCAGTTGCCCCCAGCTGCCATTCAGTGAGCACGGTGTCCTCGTAGGCCCCATGCTTGGCACTTTGTATTCCCCCCTTTTGTTCCTTTATTTGTAACAGGCCCTAGTGTGGGCTCTCATATCTGTGAAGGAATCTTGGAGGTCAAATAATTTTAGAAGAGGGGCAGAGGCATTTTAGGCAAGAGTCCAGACTTAAATATATATATTGAAAGACCAGATTGACCACAGCATAAAAGTTATGTGGGCAAGTCATTTTACCTCTTACCCTCCTTTCTTGTAAAATGAAAGGTAATTAGATAATCTCTAAGGATTCTTCCAGATTTTTAATTTCTGTGGTGTATTCTTTTTCTTCTGTATCATATTAATGATATTTTTATAGCACAAAAAACTGGTTCAGTGTTTACCAACTTAAAAAATCTGAACCATTTGGGGCGCCTGGCTGGTCCATCAGTAGAGCATGTGACTTTTGATCTCAAGGTTCGTGAGTTCGAGCCCTATGTTGAGTGTAGAGATTACTATAAACAAACAAACAATACATAAATAAACAATACATAAATTTAATCTTCAAAAAAAATCTGAATCATGTCAATTAAGATATTTTTACCCTTTGCTGTTAGATTGTTTTGATAAGGAATAAAGGAATTCCTAACTAAAAAAAAAAAAAAATGTTTTTACCCAATTGTATTATCAGATAATCTTCTTTAACTAGGATCACGTCTAAATGGGAAAGTTTTGCTAAATTTTCACACTGATATTAATTTCCTAAACAATAAATATGTAAAATAAGATTATCTCTTTTTTTATTTAGATTGAGTAATAAAAAGCCTGCCTGAATGTATGTATTAATCCTCTTACTGAACCAAACCCTGGGATCTAAGATCCATGTTCACCAATTTAAAATAATGAGGCATTTTGCATAATATTTTGTTTAGTTCACTAGAGTTTATTCATTGATTAATTCAGCAAATATTAGGCACCTACTATGTGCTAGATACTGTTCCAAGGGCCCTTAGAACAAAAGGAGGTGGAGGTGAAAAAAGTACCTGCTTTTATAGAGCTTACATTCTAGTTGAAGGAGACAAATGATGAGAAAATACAAAAAAAAAAAAAAAGTAAATACAGAATATGTCAGAAAGTGACAAATGCAATGGAAAAAAACCAAGCAGGATAAGGGAGATTGAGAGTCGTCTTGGGAGAGAAGGCCTCACTGAGAAAGTGAGCAGAAACCTGAAAGAATTAAGGGAGAGGCAAGTGGGTTAGATGGGGGAAGAAGAACAATCAAGACCAAGGAAATAGCAAGTACAAAAGCCTTGGAATGGCATTGTGATTGGTGTGTTCAGGGAACAGCAAAGAAAGCTATCTAGCTGATGTGAAGTGGGCCAGCTGAAGAGTGTTAGGAGAAGAAGTTATTGAGGTGGGACAGAGAGAACAGACTTGGTGGGCTGTAATCAGTGCAAGTGCTTTGCCTTTGACTCTGCATGGAATTGGAAGCCACTGGAGGGTCTTGAGTAGAAGAGTAATAGAGCCAGTTTAACTTTTAAGAGCATCTCTCTGGCTACTGAGTTGAGAATAGCCTGTAAGGGGCAATGGTAGAAGCAGAATGACTAGTTAGGAGACAGGAATGCAGATAAGAAGTAATGGTGAGTTGGGGCACCCAGCTGACTCAGTCAGAGCATGTGGCTCTTGATCTTGGGGTTATGAGTTCAAGCCCCACTTTGGGCATATGTTACAGGATTTTTGTCCCCTTAGTGCCCACGGTTCTTGGTCCCGCCACTTTGAAGAATGAAGAGGTAGACCAGACAGAGTGGTGGGCAGCAAAACAAAGTTTACTGAACAATAGTAGTACAGAGCTCCCAAAGAGGGAGGGGACCCAAGAGGGGTGCCCTTTGAGCTTCTAAGTGTAGGGGTTTTTATAAACTCATGAAATTATCGTAAGCATCCTGAATGTGGGCCCCTGTGGATTGGCTGCTTAGGTGTGCCAATCAGGGCTTTGATCATGCACCCATCCACCAATCAGGTTATTGTTCACGTGCTGGTCATCTTGTGGGCTGACATTTGGAGACGAAGTGATAGTGACCAATGTTTTATGGTTAATTGTTTTGTTTCAGGATGTTTTGCAAAAGCCATTTTTGCAAAAGCTGCTAGACAGTGTGCTCTTGTAGTCTTGTCTAAGCTGCAAAACAGGTGGTCTTGTCTAAGCTGCAAAACCGCAATAGTGCAGTTTTGTCTTAGCTGTCCCAGCTTTTTGCTTTCTTTTTGGGGACCCTGGCTCTGACTACCTAAGTGTCCAACTAACTCCTAACACATAGAGCTTACTTAAATTAAAAGAGGGAGGGAGGAAAGGAAGGAAGGAAGGAAGAAAGAAAGAGAGAGAAAGAAAGAAAAGAAAGATTTGAGAATTGACAGCATATAGGTTGTATTTAAAGAATTGCTCCTATTTTTTGTTTTTGCAATTTATTTATTTTTTTTTTAAAGATTTTATTTATTTATTTGAGAGAGAGAGAATGAGAGAGAGCACATGAGAGTGGGGAGGGTCAGAGGGAGAAGCAGACTCCCTGCTGAGCAGGGAGCCCGATGAGGGACTCGATCCCGGGACTCCAGGATCATGACCTGAGCCGAAGGCAGTCGCTTAACCAACTGAGCCACCCAGGCACCCTGTTTTTGCAATTTAAATTTAGCTAGTGCTTATTTATCCAGGGTACTGTCTGCTTTCAGTCAGTTGAGACAAGAGGTTTTCTTTTTTTGCCATGTAAATGAAGAAAATTGTGATGGCTAAAAGAATTACAAAGATTGTTATCACCAAACTAAAGTGTAATTAATAATCATTATTCTTGTGTTATAGAGCTGATGTTCATTATAATTAATATAACTAACTTAGAAACAGATTTTATAGACACTTAAAAAAAGAAATCTCTGGGTTTGAGCCATCTGTTTTTATAAGATACTCTTCTAACAGACTACTGACTCAATCATTTCAATCTTCATAGTATCTAAGCTAGAATAGCTCTACATAGTTTATTGAATTGTTTAAATAATGCCATATTCGAGGGGCACCTGTGTGGTTCAGTGGGTTAAGCATCTGACTCTTGGTTTCGGCTCAGGTCATGATCTCAGGGTCTTGGGATTGAGCCCCATGTCGGGCTCTGCGCTCTGCAAGGAGTCAGCTTGAGGATTCTCTCTTTCCCCCTG